CAATGGAAACGCGGCTATTGAGTGACTCTGGCCAGAGAATGCTTTGCTGAAAGCTTCTTTAAGCATATCACTGGGGCATTTAAAAGGAAATATGATTGAACTTTGTAAGAACATTGCAGTAGAGAAATTATCAAAAATAATATAGCAGGAGTAAAGTCTGTTATTACTTTATAAAATTAATGCAAATGCTTAACCAATCAGCAAAGTATTTCTCCCACTATTAGCAGGTTAGCTGATAAAGAAAGCAAACATTAAAGCATTTAACTAGCATTTTATTTGCTGTTGGCTCTAAAAATTAATCATTAATAGAAGCACATCCAATGACTGCTTCTTTAAAGTTTTCCATTAAAATCAAGTGATAATATCCATTTCCTATGTAGAACAATACACAAGTCTGTTGCAAGCTTGAGGAAAATTACCACACGGACTTAAAAGCAGTCACCAAAATACTTCAAAAAAATTCTAAATATAAAGAAGACTTCATTAAAACGATGCTACACTCTCATGTGGCAACATCCGGAGGTTATTTTTGTCTGAGATACACTTGCTGCCTCTTTACTGTCAAATAAAGCTGAAACACTGGATGAATATTCTTTTAACTGCACGCACTTTAATGATGATAACGGCCATCCTTGTGAGTGAGCAGTCCCTGGACCGACATGGCCAATAAAATCCCCAATGAGCATCGATGGGAAACGCTTCTGGACCAATGAGCAGCCTCGGAGCAGAAGCCTTCGTGGCATTAATGATCTGGGAGGTCGTGCAAACGGTGCAGAGCATTATCACACACACATTTGTGCTCGTATACATCCAGTGCTAGCTTGTCGTTACAAGCACAGCCTGTCGTTTCCAATAAGGCACACTAACGTGACGAAGCCCTGTTTATGTGTGAAAGAGTCACATCAAGTCAAAGAGCATCTATCTGCACCATGATCAGAAAATGAAGCAAAGATTTGCTTTTTCATACACTGCTTGCATACTGCTTCTAGCAATCACACAAACACGTGTGCATGCAAATACACACACACACACACTGGTAATTTGTTTGTTTCCCATGTTTGGAGGCATGCGGTTCTGCTCCGCCGTCCCTAATGCCTCCAAAACACATCATTATCTGACTTATGTAGACCTGGGAGTCTGCGCGAGTGCTGCCGTGGGAGCGTACGTGTTTGCTGTGTGCATGTGTGGGAGCGCTACGAGAAAAACAGTTGATTATCGAGTTCAACAGGCGAAACACTGTTTACCCCGAGAGACACAAAGCGAGTGAGAGAGACGGAGGAAGAGGGAGACAAAGGAGCCAGGGGGGAAGTGGAGGGAGATGATTTAGGAACAGCGAGGTGAGAAACGCGAGTCCTGGAGAGACGGAGGGAAGGGTTCGAGGAACGGGCTGACGAAAAGGAGCTGGGATGGAGGGATGGTTAGAGGGAGGGATGGTTAGAGGGAGGGATGGTTTGAGGGAGGGAGAGGATCCAGGCTCAGACAATGAAGTGAGACGACAAGCCAGGCCTGCGGGGTGCAAAGTAATGAAATTCGGTGATAGATCCCTCTAAGCCACGACACGCAGACAAACATCACAGTGGGTCTGTTGTTGTGTCGGGGCAACAACTTCACAAACATGGACTGCAGCTATTTACCAGCTGCAGTGATGGAGCCCAGTCCAGCCCGAAGAAGACTGCAGCACATTTTCAAACAGTCGACATCAGCTGAAGCTGATCCAGAGGAGGAAGACTGGGAGGGAGGTGAGCATCCCAGACCTCCACCCAGGGGGGCTATGTTTACATCACAAACTGGATGTGTCCTAATGATACAGCATCATGATACAGCCTTTTCATGTTAGCCTGTTACTTTTATCAGCAAACAGAACTATTATCAAACCAAACCACTTAAAACAGCACAAGTGCTGTACAGTAAAACCTTTTAAATGACCGCAAACAGCTGAAGAGATCAGAGATTTAAAACTCACTCAGTGTCAATCAGGGTTCACGCAGGTTTCAGTAAGTTAAATTTAAGACCTTTTAAGACCATTAGTAATGACTTTTAAGACCAAATCGACGCATTAACAGAAACATTAAAATGGTCTCAGAAATTTTATAATAGAAAACTTTTATTGCTATCAATTTAATTATTAAGAATATTTCATTTTAATACAAGAACACTAAATTATTTGAATGAAACGGTCACATCTGACTGCTGTGAACTGCTGTCAACCGAGTGAAAAAAAATCACTGATATCAAGTCAAGTCTCATTGAAAATACACTTTAAACAACAAGCAGTGGATATGACTGAACTTCTGTTTGTTGAGCAGGTAAATAAGTCACCTGTATGTGGGGGGTTGTAGCAGCAAAGAGGTTAAAAACATGGAAGTAAACTGTGACAGTTTTACCTGCAGTTATCAGGGGATTCATAGTTTAATCATGACCAGTAGCAAACTTAGCATCATGAAGACAGATCGTGTCAACCTCTGATTACGACTCTTAACTTTATTTCTGCAGCCAACGGTTCTCAGGAATGATCAAAAGTAGAAAAAATTAAGACTTGACAAAATTTAATTTAAGACCTTGGRTRAAAATCTGGGCGTTTTTAAGACTTTTTAGGCCTAAATTTTTGATTTTCGAATTTTAGACTTTTTTAGACTTTTTAAGACCCGGCATGAACCCTGGTCAAAGGTTGTGTCTCAGTTCACAGGCTGTAGCCAACATGGGCTGCATTTGTCGGACACTTATGTTACCGCCCCGCGCCGTAGGCCGTCCCAATTCGTAGACACTTAAACAGCAAATTAAACAGAAAAAAAACATTAGTTTTTTTTATGGTGGAGTTTGAAAATTCATCACGGACTGAAGAACGGAAGTTTAGCAACTTAGCTGATAAAAGTTTTGCTGCAATAAGACGTTAAATAAAATGCAGTTACAAGTACTGAAACTGGAGCTAAACCCAGATTATTAATGCTTTTTATTTATTTACTTGTAACGTTTTTCTATCAAAACTGAAATTTRTGAAGTTATACCTTGAAAAAACAACCGAAGCGATATGATATAAAACGTATCACCATGATAACAAGGTGTGGTCACAAACATAAGTCTTGTGTAGACTGGACCGTCTCGTCTCACAGCAGTTTATGCAGCCGATATGAGCGGCCTACGGCCCACGCAGTCTGTGGACAACATTAGCTGCAACCCATGAATTCAGAGACGTTTTAGACAACTTATGCCATTTTTTTAATATCCAAATTACTAATAAACGTTATATATTTGACTGAATCAAGTTATTTTGGGGGTCATAACCCCCCTAATCCCCCCGCAAATTACGCCCATGAAGAGAAAACATAAATCAAGTTGCATAAGTTGTTAAAATGTTAGTGACAGGACCTTAAGAGAGCACTGTGGAACTTATGGATGCACTCGAACAGACAGGTAAGAGGCGGCGGAGTTTTTCAGGCATTTTAAAACTTACAGGAGGATTTTAAATTCTGAAGGGAACTGGAAACGAGTGAAGAGGAGCTAAAACCAGAGATGTATGCTCTCTTTTGCCGGTGCTTGTTAAAAATCAGGCACCAGCTGTAAACAAGCAAAACGAGACATAGTTTCGGCTAATTCCTTAAAGAAGTGAATTACTGTTATCAAGCCTGGATGTTATGAAAGATTTCTTTTAGACAGAATGGGATTCAATTTGTTTAATTTTATGTAAGGATCCATATTTTACTCCTAGATTGGTGACAATCTGTTTCTCAAACAGAGCCAGAGATGAAAGCTTGGTTCTTGTTGGAGTCATTTAGTGCAGAGAATCTTAACCTATGGGCCACAGCGCCACCTTGAGGGCCTCAAAAGAACAACAGTTTTTAACTTTGGGCCGCAGAGGACCGCATTGATTTTGAATAAGGTGCAATACACTTTCTCACCACTAGTAGCAGTAGTGCGCCACTCAGTTGTTTAAAAACTTTTTAATATGTAGAAGAAGAACCTTAGAAACCTGCTGAGAATGAAAACTTATTTTAAATGAAAAGTAGAAGCAAAAATGAAAGTAACTCATCA